TTAGACAGATAAGTCACATTGAACCTAGAAGACTCATTTACAAGTGAGACCTGTTTAGACAGACAAAAAATAGTGAAACTGGACACATGCAGGAGTTGGGGGCGAAAAAATTCCTATCAAACTTTTTCTTTGTGCCTGAGAAGAAAAACTCTGATACTAAAAAACACCTCGCACAAACAAGCACATAGTGACATAGACACTCTGCAGAGGGAGACAACGAGAGCGGTGAGCATGATCACAGATGCTCTCGAGGTCACTAAGAGTTCTGATAAGGATGGAATAATCAGCCAATGTCCTCCGGTGAGATCCATAAACATTCTCGAGGTATGTCGAGGAATGGCCAAGGATAATGCCTATGAGAATCCAACAGTCCTGAAATGATGACACAAAGTTTATTCAGCTGGTTTCATCTGGTTATCAGTTGGAAATTCCTCGGGGGGGGGGGAGGTGTTTGAGCATCAGATCACATGTTCTCCAGGCGAATTCAGATAAACACAGTTGTTTTGGGGACAGGCAGAACTTAATTACATCTACCTTGAGTCTGTGTTGGTCAACTTGGTTCCAAAATGTCCAAAATACATGGCCACAACGATGGAACGTGACTGAGGAAAATCCCCGAGATCTGATCCATTCTGCCCAAAGCATTTGAGTCTGGGTACTCGAGGCACAAACCAATCCATCATAAAGGCAAGCAGCGTGATCGGGTCCAAATTTGCTGCTGACAACTTCCTTGATTGTTGATAAAACCAGCAACCAGCCGAATCCAAAAAGCAGGAACCAGTTATCATAAATACAATTAATAGTTTTTGCTGCTCCCTGCGTTAGGGGTCGCCACAGTGAACTAAGTCGCACAAAGACTTGGCAGTTATTTTTATGCCAGATGTCCTTCCTGACACAACCACAGACCACCAAGCTACCACAGCCCTCTGTGTGGAACAGAGAGCTGCTATCTAGGACACCCAGAGAAGCAGATGGTGGGGATTAAGGGCCTTGCTCAAGGGCCCAGAGTGGGATGAATGAGGGTGGGGGCAGGTGTGGGTGCTTCACCTACCATACCCACATTTTTGATGTTGTCGGTTACTAGGCTTGAACTGGCGATCTTCCGATTACAGGCCCACCTTCTCTAACCTCTGCACCACCACTCCCATGTAAATACGTAAATCCAATTAAATATGCATCCTTAAAATCCACAAATGTCAGCAGAGATAGACACATCATAAAGTCTTCAAGACGATGAGATATCCAGCTGCGTGCGTGCCAACAGGGCAAATTGGCTCGCCTAAAGACTGTCTTCTCTTTGAAGAAATGTTATCAATTGTGTTGAGAGACCAACTGATCAAAACAAGTCCATAATTATGGTTCAGAAGATGCAAGAGAGGCTCAGAAGCAGTTTCACAGACAGACAGCGCAGCAAAAAAAAGTGGAGAGGGAGGGGAGAAGCATCCGATCTCAGCAAGAGCAAGTGGTGAAAGTAAGTATAAGTTTAGTTTAATATCATGTCGTCATGCTGGTGGCTCAGTTGGTAGAGCTGCAGCCGCTCAGGGAGAAGGTTGCTAGATCAAATCCCGATGCAGCGACCTTTCTGAGTGGAGTTTGCATGTTCTCTCTGTGCATGTGTGGGTTTTCTCTGGATACTCCAGTTTCCTTCCTCATACCAAAAACATGCATGTTATGCTGTGTAGTAATGTCAGGACAGCTTTGCTGTTAGCTTCACTACTAATTAATTATTCTTAAAGTTAGTTCAAGCACAAAGAATATTAATTGTTAATTACAACGGATTCTTTTCTTTTTCGAGTTAAATTTCTGCCATATGACCGAGATAACTGTGAGTGGATTGTTTAATCAGTGACATGAGACGCCATTTTATCTTTGACCCATCAGAATAAATGCGGTCATTTATTTAACAGAATCAAAATTTAACATCAAAACATGTACACATTGATTTGCTGATCTGTTTCTAATCAATAAACTTGGCACGCTTTACTAACAAGACAACAGAACATTACTGATTGAGGCTGATTCACCTCTGAAGGCATCTAGATTACTGGCGAATAGAAAAGTTTAAAGAGAAGACATAGATTTAAAGAGGAAGATGGATGAAGGAAGATGTATGTTTGTTGACCAGAATTAGCACTCCTCTTTCAACACCAGCTCAACCCCTGGTCCACTTAGTGCGTGACAACTCGTGACATCTCTTTACCTTTGCAGTGGATGGATCAGCTCCAGTATAGAGGTCGCTTTGCACGCTACCTTTCAGCGTCTCCGGTCAGGGTGGCTGGTCATTGTCCGAAGTCGTGACAATGTACTCCGTTAAACAGAAAAAGCTTCCTTCGAAGTTGTAGGGCGTTACGCCCGGGGGAGTTCACAGCGAGGCACTGTGACTCCGCTGGGATGGACGGACCCTTGTCTCACGGTCAAATCCATCAGCTATTGATTGAATCTGAAAGTTCCTTAGGAACTCTCAGTAAGACTCCAGTCAGAAATTCCACTCAGAAGTGGAAGACTCCTGGGTCTTTAAAACCTCCCCAGCTGCAACAAAGAGCAGTGCACGTAAAATTAAAGAACATTTAAACAGATTAAATGTAGAATAAAAACTGTTCAAATATGAAGAAAACAACAAGAGCAGTAAAAGAAACTGAAGCAAGTCTGAGGCTGAGCCACAGTCCAGAGAATAAAAAAAGCTTTTTAAAGATTTTTAAAAATCGACAGTGAAGAGATCGTCTGACAATAAGACGGAGATCATTCCATGATCTTGGAGCAGCAACAGGAAAAGATCTGTCCCCTCTGAACCTTTGTTTGGACCTCTGTCCCCTATGAACATCTGTTTGGACCTCTGTCTCCTCTGAGCCTCCGTTTGGACCTCTGTCCCCTCTGAACCTCTGTTTGGACCTCTGTCTCCTCTGAACCTCCGTTTGGACCTCGGTCTTCTCTGAACCTCTGTTTGGACCTCTGTCCCCTATGAACCTCTGTTTGGACCTCTGTCTCCTCTGAACCTCCGTTTGGACCTCTGTCCCCTCTGAACCTCTGTTTGGACCTCTGTCTCCTATGAACCTCCGTTTGGACCTCTGTCTCCTCTGAACCTCTGTTTGGACCTCTGTCTCCTCTGAACCTCCGTTTGTACCTCTGTCTCCTCTGAACCTTTGTTTGGGCCTCTGTCTCCTCTGAACTTCCGTTTGGACCTCTGTCTCCTCTGAA